CCCAGGAAGTCCTGCAGTCCAGGTCATCTCCCCCGGTGCCTCACACTTTCTCTTTGTTTGGGTTTTGTTTTTTGTTTACTTTTTCCCCCCTCTATTTTTAAAAAAGAAAAACTGAAAAACAGTCTGAAGGGTGGAGAGTTTGCCCAGCTGTTAAGAGCACTCGCTGAAAGTGCCAGTGTGGAAACTCACAACCATCTGTAACTTCAGTTTCTGGGGGTCTAAAACCCTCTTCTGATGGCTGGCCATGAGGCCCACAAACAGTGCACAGACATTGCTGCAGGAGAGACACATATACATGAAATAAAACCTACGAACATAGTCTTAGAGATGTGTGTTAGCATCTTGCTGAGAGTAAGCTGAGACTCTCGAAGTAACATTGCCTGCCCAGAGTCTAGCTGATAACTAGAAGAAGGGGAATGCAGGGTGGGTTCTCTGATTTGAGTGATAACCCATTGCATGTGACATACCGCAGTTACTCAAGCAGGTAGTGCATGTGGCTGAGGTGGGCTGTGGGGGACATGGTAGCACTTGTCTGAAAAGGATGCCACCAGGCAGCTGCAGCCTATGATGGCCTCATTGTCCCATCTTTTCTTCTGAAGCTTGGAGTTGAACCAGACCAAGGGCTTTGCTTGTGCTGCTCAAGCCCCACAGCTGGCCTCTGTCCCCAGCCTGCTTTTTTCTTTTAGTCCCAGGAGTCCTCAGATTTGCAGTCATCCCACCTCAGCCTTTCTTTATAGTAGCTGGGATTGTAGGCTTGCACAGCAGGGCCTGAACAAATTGTTAAAATAAGTCCTCAAATATGAATTTGTTAGTGGCACCTTTTGTCTTCAAAGTTGTCAGCTGATTCAAAGCTTTGGACATCAGGTGGCCCAGTCTTGGGCTGTGTCCAGTCATTGAGCAGACTCTGGTTTATAAGTGTCCAGGGTTGTTCTTGGCACTATGGGCATACCTGAGGGCAAAAAGCATTTTCCTCCTGTCCTGTCCCTTCCCTTCCTTCTCTTCACCTCTCCCCCCACCTTTCTTTTGATTTTTCCGGGAGGAAGGCGGGGGAAACAGCCCAGGCTGCCCCTGGGCTCACTTTGTGCCTGAGGATGGCCTTGACCTCCTGACGCTTGTGCCTCCTCTTTCCTACACGCCATATTGTGACTGTGCTACCACAGGGAGCAGGGAGCTCTTCTAAGACCTGTTTAACATAAAGTAGCAGAGCCTATCCCTCTCTCCTGGGCTCATCGAGTCCTCCAGCCCTTCACATGTGGGTCTCCATATCTAAAACTGCTTCAGTTACCGAGCAAGCTGTGGGGCAGCCCTCAGCACTTAATTTATTCTGCTTTGTCTAGTTTTGTGTTTTAGGCCAGACTGCTGAAGTCTGGCCAGATTAAGAGTGTGCTCTGGGGCTGTAGGGACGACTTGGTGGTTAAGAGCACTTGCTGCTCTTACCAAGGACGGAGTTTGGTTCCTACTGATCACATGGAGTTTCTCAAAGAAAGTATGCTCAGGAAGTGTGGAAAGCTGATCCTGTCCTCAGACCTGAACAGCAGCAGCTCAGCCGGCTTACCTGGGACAGGCTCATCAGGCAGGATACAGTGACCCATTCATTGCCTGTCATTCTCTTTGACAGTTTTAAACCATCTGGCTGGATCTCGCGGCCTTCCCCCTTGGCCTTCCCTGTGTCTCTGCGTGTCTGCGAAGGTGTCCTGGAGTCACTCCCTGGAGCAGCGGTGCAGCAGCAGCAGCAGGAAGCTGGGTTGGGCGGGCATTGGATGCGGGAGGCGGATGTGGTGTGCTTGCTAGCTGTGCAGAAGGGCAGCAGTGGACCTGCCCGAAGGCCGAACGTGTCTGGTCAGGCCAGCTTCTGATGTTCAGTCCCCTGGGCTGGGACAAACTTTTTTTTTTTTTTAAACGTCTTGAAACCTAAACTCTGTGCTTGTTAGAAGACTGTAACCTTTTTGTCTTTTTTTTTTTTTTTTTTTTTTTTTAAACAACCTCCAGTGGCTGTGACTGGCCCCAGTGATTGTATCTTATTGGTCGCTGTGGTCTGGGCGGGCCTGGAGCCAGAAGGCGACTATTTTTCCTGGGCCACCCCAGGTGGGGAGAGAGGGACATTTCAGACTCCAGCTTCTCCTCCTTGCTGTCTTACTCACAAGCCTCCTTGGCCCAGTAGAGGTGGTAAGGACTCTCTACTAGCCTCCTGACTTCTGCCTGAAGATGGCCACCACACTGGTTGGGAACAAGGGCTGAATCTATGAATGCCAGGCAGACTTAGGAGCTGGGGTCCAAAAGCCAGGCAACTTCTAGCTGCAAGGGCCACCTGGAGTCATCCTCCCCCCAATACCTCCCCAGCTGAGAGGCCCCAAGGCTTGCCTGTCTGGGTACAGTGCCTGTGCTGGAGGTGCAGAGGTGAGTCCTTGAATGCCCAGCTGGGCCTCACCTACTCTGGCTCCTCTGCTGCCGCTCGCTGTCTCTGATTCTGATGAATTCTTCCTTCTCCTGATTAAAGTCTCTTCCTGCCCCTTTGGGGCTGCATGAGGTCTGTGCTGTGTCTGTGTGGAAGGACAGGTAATTTTATTCTTTGGAGCCACGAATGGCTGGCACTTGGGTCTGGAGCAATCCACCAGACCATTTTGTCATTGATCCCTACCAAGGGCACCAACTCGGAGATCTTCACTGCAGTCAGCACCATTATTCTGAAGATGGTCCCTGCCTGGACAGAGAGAGGTAGCAATGGTTTCCACATCATGCTTCTGTTCTCTCTTCAGGGACCCTCAGAAACTGGATTCCACTTTGAGGATAAGAAAATAGGTGCCATATCCAAAATAGCTTGCTCCAAGACTCCCACATCCTTTGCGCTAGAGGGGGACTTCTGCCTGTGCTGACAGGAATCACTCTCCACGCTATCTCAAAGTCTTAGTTCCCTTGGTGACTCTGGACAGCTACAGGGAACTCAGAACTGAAAGTGCGAGCATCATCAGATAGTTACTGCCTGTGACTTCTTGCTGGCTCCCGAAGCAAGCAGTCCTTTCTCTGTCTCCTACTTGTAGAGACAATGGGAGCTATATAGCACTGCCCCTGCCACACAGATGCTGGGTGGACAGCAGTTGACCCCTCTGCTTATTGTATGTGCTGGACATCAACCCTGACACCCAGTCAGACTTTGACAAAACTCAGGTCCGGGGAAAGTGAAGTCTGTAATAGTGGCCATGGTTAGGAGTGGGTGTGTGTGTGGGCGGAGGGGGTATGCTCCCAGGAGAGGATTATCAGGGAAAACTTCAAGAACAGTTGACCTTGAGCCAGGTGTGTTGGCTCACACTTGGAAATAAGAAACAGGACCTGTGTGAGTTCTAGGCCATCCTTGAACTACCGAAAGATATTTTCTCAAATAAAATAAAAAGGTGTATATGTGAGAAGAGCTGAACTTTCTGGATAGCCAAAGAAATGTTGGGTGGGAATTGTTTCTCAGGACCTTGAGCATAATATGCAAGCCTGTCACCAGCCCCCAAAGGGGTCTTTTGAAAAGAACAAGTGTTAAAGAAAGGAGGGGTGTGGGGACAGCTTGATTGGCTACCATCCCTTTGTGACACTACCTCTGTGACCTCCTTATTGAATTAGTTGGACCCTGTGTGGTGTATGGCTTTGTTCTAGCTTTGCAGTGACTGTTAAAGGTGAAGCTGAATGATCAGAAGGGAATGGCAGCTAGTCACTCAACCCTCAAAGAACATCCTTGCTCTGGTGAGCCAGCCAAAACACTCTGATGTCATAGATTATCTTCCAAGGTCCAAAGTCCCTAAAACCAGATTTGCAGGCTGAGAGCAAATCAGATTGCTGCCAACCAACCAGTCCCCCCTCTCTTCTGGGAAGTCTGGTTCCCAGTCACTTGTGAGGTGGGGAAGAGTAATCTCTGGTTGGGTTTAGCTAGACAGGTAGCTGGGAGACCTACACTGCAAAGGCAGACCTGCCTGGTGACTTGACGGCTGGATTCTTTTAGACTACTTGAATAGACTGCTCGTGTTGGGCTCTATAACTTCATTTGGTGCTTCTCCCACTGGAAGCCCAAGTGGCTGGGCATGTAGTTCAGTTGCCTGTTCTGCCTAGCATGTGTGAAGCTGTGAGTTCCATTCCAGCAACAGGTGTTTGGGAGGGGGTACGAGACCCTGTTTCAAAAGTGTTGGAATCAGACCATATTAGGGTTGGTTATGCTATGTGATTTTGAGAAAAGTTATATACTGTTTTGGAGTCTTATTTTTCCCTGGGTTCTGAAGATAGTGCCTTACTTACAGATTTGGCCAGAATGAAGTACTGCTTCTTTTCATTTTTTTGATAAAAAAAAAAATGATTGCACTTTTCCAAGTTAGTGGGAGAGGCAGTGTGCGCTCTGAACCTTTTATGTCACCCTATACACAGCCTTGACTTTGTTACTCCCAAAGACCTCCAGCCATCTCCACCCAGGTGCCACGGGACTTACCCCGCCCCACCAACTGCCTTAACCGCCCCGCCCCCCCCCAGGTTCCCATCCTCACCCGTGGCAATTGCTGAGACTTCTCAGTGCTAGAATGTGATTTCATCTCTCCCCATGGTTCCTGGCTCCTTTGCTTGTACACCTTAAGCTTAACTGGTCACCTGAGAGGACCTCCGTAACTGCCTTATCTTAAGGAAGTCCCTTCCCAGTTTCAGCTCACTGCCTTTTCCCTGCCCTTAAACTAGCACCTTTTTGTTTCTTTTGCTAATTTTTGGTTTTCCACACACTAAACTCCATGAGGTCAGGGACTCGACAACCCTTATCCCAGGGCCTTAGAGTATGGGCCAAGGCACAAAATATGAACATTAATGGTTGCCCCAGCGCTCGGTTCTTCCATCCTTAGTGCCTGGTTCATCAAGGGTGTGTGGCAAGTGAGGCCCAGAGCCAAACCACCACGGAAAACGTCCTCCAACTCCGCTTCCCACAGCAGCCCTCCAGCCTTCTATAACTGAGTGTGATTGTGCCTGGACTACGATCTCCTAGGAGACTGGAAACAGAGGGCGGGGCCTGAGAGGGCGCCTGGGCGGAGGCGCGCACTGGGGCGCTGGGAGCGATCCTGGCGAGAGGCGCATGCAGGGCCTCAGCGCAGCGCTTCTCCTGAGCGCGGGGCAGCTGGTGCCTGCAGCCGCCTGGTACCGCCAGGAGGGCGGCTCGGAGTGCAGCTGGCACCGGAGGCCGCAGCCGCCCGAGCTCCGCTCCAATTACCCTCCCCGGTGGCCCTGGGCATGCAACTCCGAGTTTGACGCTCCCGGGAGGCAGCCATGGCCTGGGCCCGCCTCCGCCAGGCCCGACGGGGTGCGCTGCTGTGGCAGCCGTGGGGATTGCAACTCATTGTCTACGCGCCACCTAAGCAGCGCCCACGAGTTCGTGCTGGGTGCTCAGGACACTGCGAACCCCTACCCCGTCTGCTCCCTGCTCCCCCCGACCCTGGCTGAGCCCCTGCCTGATGCCCCGCCACCGCCTGATGGTGAGGCGCAGCGAGGGCAGCCAGCCCCGACACCCTGGCAGCTGCAGGGAGAGGTGGGGAGGGTGGAAGCAATGGGGAATCCGAAGAGCTCTGGAAATTGGGCGTTCAGATACAGGGTAGGGGCACGGAAGTGCGGGCATCCGGAGTCAAGAGAAGTCCCTGGACCAAGCTCCCAATTTTCTGTGTTCCTGCTCCGCTTCTCTCTACAGATTCCCTTGTCCTCTGGCGAGGATTCTCCAAGGGACCTCACCACATGGGCCGACTCAGAAACGCCAAAATCCACGTAGAGAGAGCCGTCAAGGTCGGAGGGGATGGGGTGGTGGCGGCTTCACTAAGTAGTTTCTCATATCCTTAAAAAATAAATGTCAAAGACAATACACACACATCCTCATCTGTAAGTGCCCCTCCTCCCCCCCCCCCCCCGCCTCCCTCCTCAATCCCTCTTCAGGCCCATAGTCTTGGCTGAACGGTCTCTACCTAGAGATGCATTCTTCAGCTCACTCGCCCCTGATTCCTAACCCTTCTATCCCATTCCCATTAGAAATTACTCTCATCTAGGGCCCTAGTGTCCAGTAAGGAGTCACACCCTGCAGCCCTTAACTGCCTTCCTTCCGCTGGGGCACTGTGTGTCACAAAGGAATCTCACCTCCAGCCTGGGCTGAATGGCTGGCTGGCCGGCCACACACTCCTAGTTTCCCTTACTTATATTCCTTGGCCTCTGGCTGCAGATTCCCCAGATGTTTGTGATTCCTTGGGTCCCTCTCCATGCACCTCTTTCCTTGAGCTTTGGAGTCCGGGATCACACTGTGCCCTGCACTAACTTTTCCCTAAGCCCCAACCCTGGAGACCCAGCCCTCTGGATCTTACCAGAGAGCTCACCAGCATCTCACAATTGTTTCCCAAACCTTATTCCTGTTCAATCGTCCACACCTGCCATCCTCCCCAGTATCCAGTTTTCCCCATCATTTATTTCAGAAACCAGAAATCCATCTTCCAGTTCATCTATCCATCAGCAAACTCATCCACCCCTTCAAAATGAGTCTCAAGCTAGCACCTCCTTCCCAGTTTCCACCTTATCATCCTCATTCTAACTATTGCATTTGTTTAGACCATGGCATCCACCTAAGGATCTGCCTCTGTGCCCCCTCCCCATTGATTCTCTGTGTAGTTGCATGCAAACTTACAGAGCCAGCCACCTTTAGTTCCTTACACTCTTGACTCATAACTCTCCTTATAAAATGTAAGGCTACATTTTAAGGTTCACGGGGCTCTCCACAGTTCTGTCACACTCTGTGCATTCTTGGAAGCTCTCATTTTTCAGACTTCACTCTCCCTGACCTCTCAGTTCCTTCTGACTTCTAGCTGGGCTCTGGACCTTTGCACTTGCCACCTTACTCTGCTTGAACTGCCATTTGTTCAGCTCTGCATTCACAGCTCCTTCCCAGTTTGCCTTGACCATGTATTACTCTTGAGACTGTGGGAATACCAGTGATAAAATGTGTGCTTAGCATATACAACACCCTGGGCTCAATCACCAAACAGAAAGGAAGAAATCCTTACTCTGTCACTTAATTACCATCTAACATTGGAGAAACTGTTTAGCCTCTATGTGCCTTTAGTATGTAGTTAAAATGCAAATTGTTCTTAGTGGTGCATGTAAGTGCTTACCACTTAACAGGGACATAGTAACTAGCAGTTATTTGTGTTTATTTTTCTCCTTGTTTATAAGCTGCCTCCTACTGGGATATAAAATTCCCTGAAGACAGATATGCTGTCTGGTTCACCATTGCCTCCTATATCCTATATGTCTGATGCTGAAGACAGTCCCTGCCTCTCACCTTACAGCAGAAGAAGATCTTTATGATTCATGGCCGATACCCAGTGATCCGGTGTCTATTACGCCAGAGGGGCTGGGTAGAAAAGAAGATGGTCCAACCACAAGGCACCATCCTGCCGGCGCCCCAGAAGGATCTAGACAGTTCAGTGATGGGTGATAGTGATACCACGGAAGATGGTGAGTAGGTCCTTCCTTGTGCACAAGATGTCCTTCCTGAGTCCTTTTCTGTTCTTCCCACTGGTTCAGGGTTGAAACCTTAAAGGGCTATGGGGTGTAGAAACAGATCCATGGAGTCACCCTCCACATCCACAGAGGATGAAGAAGAGAATGAGGAGTTTCGGGAGCCACAGCTGTTGGACTTCGATGGTTTTTTGGAATTTGACGACCTGGATGGGGTACATGCTTTGATGGTGAGGATTCTGGGGGTCACTACAAAACAGGGGGCTGGCAAGAGGCTTCTATTCAGTTGGATGTCCTTCCTTCTCTGAACCCCAGCTTTCAGTCTGGGAAACGAGATTGCTTCTCTAACGATTGACTAGATCTGCAGAATGCTGAGGGGCTTGGTAGGGCTGATAGGTGACCACATCTTTAACTCATGCTGCCTCTGATGGCTCTCCCTGCCAAGTACTGACTGCTTCACCCATCTCTTTCCTTTGCCCTTGGTAAGAAGGCTGTATGAAACGGCTTTAAAAGTCAAGAGACAGCCGCCTAAGGAGTTAGTTTATATTAAAAGACCTGTAGGGCCCTGTTATGGACCCCTGAGGCACCTTGAGCAAGCCTGAAGCTGTTGGCTGGAACTTTTTGCCCCAAAGCTGCTATTGGTACTCTTCCTGACCCCCAGAGTTGTCATTGGTACTCTTCCTGTCTTGCTAGTAAGGAGGAGCTAAGCCTGAAAATCCTGTCATTTTCCACTGTGTCAGTATATAAGCCCACTCCATCCCCTCAATAAATGGCATTTGGCATTCTGACATTGCCATTGAACAGAAAGAAAGAAAAAAAAACTCAAGAGACAAGCAAAGATGATTCGTCCTTCAATAAAGTGAGGACCTGAGTTCAATCCCCAGAACCCAGGTGTATCAACACAGAGAAACCCTGTCTCAAAAAGAAAAGGAAAGGAAAGAAAAGAAGCCAGGTGTGGTGGAAAGCTCGTAGTCTCCTTGGCATGGAGGCAGAGACTGGTGCAGCCCTAAGGCTTGTGGGCCAGCCAACATAGTGTACTGTACAAGCTCCAGTCTAGTGAGAGACCTTTTGGCAAAAACAAGTTTTGGGTACTGGGAAACGGTTCAGTGGTTAAGAGTACTGGCTGCTCTTCCAGAGGTTCAATTCCTAGCACCCACATGATAGCTCATAACAGTCTGTAATTCCAGTTCCAAGGGATCTGACACCCTCCTGGCTTCCCTGGGTACTGCATGAATTTGGTACACAGACATACTCGCAGGCAAAACACCCATAATGCATAAAATAAAAACAAATACATTCCTCAAAAAACAAAACAAAACAACAACAACAAAAAAATCAAGATGGATGGCTCCTGATGGGCCCTCCTGTAGAGGGCATGTGTGGTAAAGAGAGGACACGAGTTCAGAGCTCGACTCCACCCAGACTGAGTGAGCTATATGAAACTGCTATTACTTTTCTTTATTTTAAGCCCCATCCCATTTCTCTGTGTGTGGGATACATATGTATGTGGGTATGGTCCTGCACATACCACATACACATGTGAAAGTCAGAGGACAACTTTCTAATCTTGATTCTCTCATTCCATCATGTGTTCTAGGGATCAGCTCAGGTATTAGGTCTTGTCCACAGGCACCATTGTGTGCTGAGTCTGGCTGGCTTCAACAATTTTATTTCTGTTTCTATAATAAAATACCCTGAAAGAAAGCTACTGGGCATAGAAAGTTTAACTCCTAGTCCCGGGTCACAGTCAGTCATAGCAGAGAAGTCAAGGTGACTTCAGACATCTGGTCACATCACCTCCACAGTGGAGCAGAGAAGTGAATGCATGCTTTGCTCTCCACTCAGCTCACCTCCTCTCCTTGCATACAGTCCAGGGCCCAAGCCCAAGGGAAAGCACCACACATTGAGATCTGGGTTAGTGTTGTAAAGACAGTGCCCCCAGACCAACCTGATCTAAACAATCCCTCCTTCAGATTCTCTTTCCAGCCAGGCAGTGGTGCACATCTTTAATCCCAGCACTCAGGAGGCAGAGGCAGGTGGATCTTTGTGAGTTCAAGGTCAATATGGTCTACAGAGTGAGTTCCAGGACAGCCAAGGCTACACAGAGGGAAAAAAAGAAAACAGCGTTCCACTACGCAGCTGAGTTCTGGTTGATTTTGAACTCAAGTTCCTCAGCCTCCTGAGTGCTAGAGTTATAGGCAAACACTCTGCCAGGCAGTAATGGTATACTCTTTTAATCCCAGCACTCAGGAAGCAGAGGCAGATGGGCCCCTGGGATTCTGAGGCTAGCCTGGACTACAGAGAGAATTCTAGGACAGCCAGGGCTACACAGAGTAACCATATCTAGAAAGACCAAACAATAATAAACAAAAACCCCAAGACAGGGTTTCCCTGTGTAACCCTGACTACTGGGACTCAGAGATCCACCAGCCTTTGACTCCAAGTGCTGAGTGGCCACCACGCCTGAACCAGTACTCAGAGGTGGCAGTTTCAAGCCCAGCAAAGTGTACACATCTGCAATCCAGCACTTGGGAGGCTGAAGCAGGAGGACCATGAGCTAGAAGGTAGCTTGGGTTACCTAGTGAGTTTGAGGCTTCTGTGGACTACATAGCAGAAGTCTCTAAAAATAAAGAATATCCTGTGTCCCAGAGCTGTAGGAGGAATGAAAAGGTTGGCTCCATGGAGAGCCTCTGTCCATGCTGTGTGCTCATTGATTGGAGTCACTGTCCTTCCACTGGGACAATCACTGATGGTCACAGAGTAAGGTGTGGCATTGTGGTGTACAGCTTAGTCACTGCCTTGGGACACAAGGCTAAGTGGGGGCTGGAAATCCCACCTGCTGCCTGCTTACCCAGCATACCCTTTGGAGCAGCTGTCTTCTCATGCCTTATGCAGAGATGGGGGCGTCCAGAGGGCACCTTGAATAACCCTTCCCCTCTGTGCAGCAGGGCAGGGAGACGCTGTTCCCACTGCCCTCCCTGTCTCCATCTCATCCCCTTTCCTCCAGTCCCGCATGGTTCGGAATGAGACCCCCTACCTCATCTGGACCACTCGTCGAGATGTGCTGGATTGTCGCTTCCTCTCCAAGGATCAGATGATAAACCATTATGCCCGTGCAGGCTCCTTCACTACAAAGGTAGGCATCCTGGGGGATCCAACCCCAGCCTGTGGGTTGGGAGCCATGCTTCCTGCTGTACTTATCAGAGAAGGATCTGCAGAGAATACAAGATGTTCCTAGGTTCATATCTAGTCCCCAAACCATATCTGACCTATGTTGACATGACAATTGTGGGCTCAGTTCCCATGAAGTCTAAAAACAGAAAAACAAATCAATAATGGTGAACAAAGGGGCCCTGGCCTGAACAGAGCATGTCCAACTTTAGATGAGAATATCAGCACAGCTGTTGTCTAAGGTTGTATAAAGGATAAAAGGTTTACCAGCATCTACTATGCCAGTGGTTCTTAAACTGTGAGGCATAAACCCTTTGGGGTCACCTGTCAGATATCCTGCATATCAGACTCATATTACAATTTATAACAGTAGCAAAATTACAGTTAGGAAGTAGCAATGAAATAAAGAGGGTTGAGAACCACTGTACTATGTCAACCTTCACACTGTGGTATGAACTATAAAGGCTTCCTGGGTGGAATAGGCTTTTATGGGTGGGAAAGGGTGGGTGAAGAGACATGGGGCCTTCTCAGCTGGGCAAATCTGGAGATGGAGATCAAGTCAGGCCTCCTAACAAGTGGGCTGGAGGTTCCAGGCAGGGTCTTCCTGGGTATCTGAACATACATGCTTTATGCAGGGGAGCGCCTTGACACTCTCTGGTCTTAGCCATCCCCTTCAGCAGCTATCTCTGTAGGTGGGCCTGTGTCTCAACCTCCGGAATCTTCCATGGTTTGATGAGGCTGATGCTGACTCCTTCTTCCCACGATGCTATCGCCTTGGAGCAGAGGATGACAAGAAAGCCTTCATAGGTAAGCGGACTCAAACCCCATGCCTGGCCCCCTCATGCTGTCTTCCCCACAATAGAAAACAACAGGTCTCCCCTCTTGCCCTCTGTACATTTTTCTCTGTAACCCCAATCCTTACCTCCCACAAATGGGTTTTCCATTCCTGAGCCTCCTAGCTTGGCCAACCTTGGCCCTGAAAAGCCCAGGGAGCCAGTCTGGAATTCCATTTGGAATCCAGATAAGTTGCAGGCTGGATCAGGTTCCATAAAAGGCTATGGGTCTCTAAGGCAAAGTAGGTTCCCTTTCTAATATGGGTTCTGAGTTCAAAATTTGGATCTGGAACAGATGACAGCTATTAAATTATGTTCTAAACCTGAGATAGAATTTAGTGCAGAGTGTGATTCTCAGGTTAGAGCAAGTATCAAAATGGACAAGGAGGGCCGTCAGTGGTGGGTCACACCTATAATCCTTAGGCAGGATTGCCACAAATTTGAGATCACCTTTGTCTACATAGTTGGCTCCAAACCAGTCAGCTTGAAACCAAAAGAACCTGTGTAAAAAGAGAGAGGGGGAGGGAGGGAGGGAGGGGGGAGGGAGGGAGGGAAGGAGGGAGGGAGGGAAACAGACACAGGCCACTATCTAGAGACAGTCTGCGCCAAGTGTGGACACACTGTGGGTATGATATTCTATAGCTGGGGTAGTAGCCAGGAGCTAGAGTGAGACAGGTCAATGAGGTTCTGGATCCAAAATGGGGCAAGCCATGGTGAGGTTCCAGAACCAGGAGAGGCCTGAAGCCTGGGGGCTGAGCAGGGTATCCCTGCCTGGGAGCAGAGGACTTCTGGCTGACAGCTGCCCGCAACGTTCTCAAGCTGGTGGTGAGGTCGGAAGGGAAGCCACACTCCATTTCCATCAAGTCAAGAGAGAAAGAGGTCCTCGGTGAGTGCTGTGGTTACCTCCACTCCCACCATTATGTGCCTGGCCATCCCCATGTTTAAGTCATATGACCAGACAGCCTTTGCCACCAACCTTTCTGTCCAGCTTCTATCTATGAAGATTGTTCACTTCTTTCCATCCAGCCATCACCTACCTACCCAGCCACCATCCATTTTCTCCACCACCGTCCCACCTGGCCACCTCTTGCCAATCACTTCAGTCACCTACCACTGCCATCCTTTCCATGTTATATCCATCTGTCCACTCCCTTCCTTTCTGCCCTTGCACAATCCCAGACACTTGTCCGTCCTCTGCTTACCGCTTGTCACCCTGCACCTGTCTACCTGTCAATTTGTTAATTGTTCAGCCTTGAATAGGCCTGATTGGCCACTTTAGAGAGGTAGGCTGAGACCACATGGCCCATCCCTACCTGTGATAACCACTTTAAATTCTCTGGGGAGACACAGAGGAACATAGCTATGTACAGATGTCCCCAAGAAACCCTGTGCCTGTACATAAGGAATATCTGGGAAGGGAGTGGGCATAGAAACACTCTGCATGCTGGTCCAACAGAATGTTTTTCCTCCCTGTTCTGCAATACTGGGGCTGCATGGCTAAGGGACTCTGGGAAGGAATGGGCAGTATTACTGGAAGGAGAAAAGTCCCTGGCCCTTCCAGAGGGACCCCTACATGCACACCTTTGATTGCTGTCATTTGACCTAGGTGGATCAAGTACCAAAGAGACTGTTATGTGCCAGGATCTGGGCCATAGGGGACCCTCTATGGCCAGAGACCCTGCACTTAAACTTCTGTGTATTGAGCTCAGGTATTGGTCAAGTTCCAGGTACATTGTAAGGTCAAGTTGTGTCAGGGGGCCCAGGAATAGAGAGCTGCTGGTAGGTACTATGGAAGGCATGCTCTTTGGGACATTTAGGCTGGAGGCTTAGTTAAGTAAGGGGTGCAGGGATAGTGGTGGCCAGGGACGAAATGCTAGAGTTGCAAGTGAATTAAGAGCAGTTTCAAGTCAGTGAGTGAGTAGCTTGTCCCAGGGTGGCTGGGGATCGAGTTCCTGCTGGGCCTCAGGTGTCTTTAGGGCAAGGTCTCAGGTAAGTGATGGGTTTCAGGTCAGCAAAGGACAATGACATGTATAACATTACCTGCTTCAAAATAGGCTGTTTACAGGTCCCTTCCATCCTTACAGAAAGCATACTGCCCAAGAAACAGGAAAAAAAGACTGTGACTGTGTCCCCAGAGTTTGTGGATGAGGCTCTAAGTGTATGCGAGGAGCATCTTAGCAGCATGGCCCACAAGGACATAGACAAGGACCCAGATGCCCCATTGTACTTCAGCCCTGAGGGTTGGTCCACCTTCCTACAGCGCTACTACCAAATAGTCCAGTAAGTGCAGAACATGGCTATGGGCATATGGGCCGGGGTTGCATATAGCACAGCCCAATCCCCCATCTTCTTTTATCCTGGATACTCCTGCTCAGGGACCCTCAGAGGTTCCCATTGGTTCCATGAGAGAATCCAATCCACTGATTTCCCACCTTAGCATAACATGGGCTCAAGGTTGTTGTCAGTAGACTTAAATTCCAGTCCTTTCTTCCCATCTCCTAAGCTCTGTGACCCTGAGGACATCACTGAGCTTTCTGAACAACTTTTTCTTAAATGCAAAATAGATTTAAAAATAGCATCCACCTTGGAGAATGGTATGCCACAGGTTAATTTGTATTGTGGGGTCAGCACGGGCTTGAGGTGTCCACTCAAAATAGGAATCTAAGGCATTTAGATTACATCCTAGAGGCCATTGGTCATTGTGTGACAGGATGCTAATTCCCATAGGAAGGAAATAGACATCCCTATTAATACTGAGTTAAACACATTGAATTGAACAAGTTTTCTTGATGTAGAATTCAGAACCTTTTAGTGTGAGCAAGAGAGTTGGGGAGGGAGAGAACAGAGGTGTTTTGGGAGCTTGCTTTGGGCAGGAGGTGCAGGCTCTGGCATGGCAGCAGGAGAATGTGGCAAGTACTTGGTGAGCACCATCAGTGTGGCTAGCATAATGCCAGGCTCCAGAGCCGAAGCTCTGCAGGGCACAGCACTTCTCACATTTACAGTAATGGGCTAGAATTCGGGACCCCAGGAATTCTAGGCAAGGACTTTACCATGTGAGCTCTACCCTAGCCCCAAAGTCCCTAGCTTTCTTTCCTTTCCTGTCCTTTTTCCTTTCCTTTCTTTTTGTTTGTTCAAGACAGGGTTTCTCTGTATAGCTCTGGCTGTCCTGGAACTTGATTTGCAGATCAGACTGATGTGAACTCAGAGATCCACCTACCTCTGCCTCCCAAGTGCTGGGATTAAAGGTGTGTGCCACAACTGCCTGTTTGTATTTTGTTTTGTGTTTTTTGTTTGTTTGTTTGTTGGAGACAGGGTTTCTCTGTGTAGCCCTGGCTGTCCTGTCCTGGAACTTGCTCTGTAGACCAGGTTGGCCTTGAACTCAGTGATTCACCTCCCTCTGCCTTTCCAAGTGCCTAGGATTAATACCACAACCACCTGGCTAGAAAGATCTTTTTATTTCCAATGTGGAGGCTATTGAGAACCCACCAAATGTAAGAATCACATAAACCTTTCAGAAAACAGATATGGCAGGTGTGGAGGCTGAGGCAGGAGGATCACTGTAAATTCCAGGCCAGCGTAATAGCAAGACAAGCAAACACACACACACACACACACACACACACACACACACACACACGTATATAAGTAGTGAGTGGCTCACTTTATCACTGCTTTATGACTTTCTCCACTGTTTTTAAACAAGCCTGAATAAAACCAGGTGGTGATGCACGCCTTTAATCCCAGTAACTCAGGAGGCAGAGGCAGGTGGATCTCTGAGATCTGGGCTAGCCTGGTCTACAGAGCAAGTTGCAGGACTATCAGGACTATACAGAGAAACCTATCTTTAAAAAAAAAAACAAAAAAAAACAGCACTCGGGAGGCAGAGATAGGATCTCTGTGAGTTCAAAACCAGCTTGGTCTACTGATTGAGTTCTAGGACAGCCAAGGAAGAAAGACAAGCCCATATGAGGGCTCAGTAGTTAAAGACTACTGTTTCAGAGATTCTGATTTAGTTCCCAGAACCCATGTCAGGCAGCTCACAACCACCTGTAACTCCAGCATTAAGGGACATATTCTAGCGCATGCATACATACTCGAGTGTACACACACACACACACACACAATTTAAAATAATAAAAATAAACAAAACCATGCCTCATCAGTATAAAGGTTAACTTCCATCAAAAACAGGTCTTATATATAAAATCATACTGAATGGACATTTTCAAATTTCCTGTACCCTTGCCACTCCCAGGTGACATTTCCCCGGGCCTCACTCTAGATTTGACTAGGCATTTACTATCTGACACAGACCACAGGAAAGCTCGTTTGGAGCCAGTGGGACCATCCCTTGGAGACTTTTGAGCCCCTCTGTCCGGCCATCCTTGTTCTTGATGCTGCTCATAAAAACAAAGCTGTCTATGGTGGGAGGTCAAGTTGTTAAAGTTAGGCCAGCACCCAGGGGAGTCTTTGTGGTCCAGGAGTCTAAATGAAGCAGCCATCTGGGACAGCGTATGATTATAGTTGAGGATACGGTCCATCCTATAGGGAACAGCCCCTCCCCCTTCCCGTGAACCCACCTGTCTAGGCCAACTCCTACCCAAGCATGCACACAGCCAACCATTCAGTCAACAGACTTGGAGAGCGCGTACCAGGTGGCAGCAGGGGTTGTGTTAGAGCCAGATACAACAGAGCAAACCGCAGGTTAAACAGCCCTGCAGGCTCCATCTGTAGCTCAGAGGAGTGTGTACTCAGCCTAGTTGGCCCTGGGTTCAACCCTCTATACCACACATCAGAAAGGCCATGGGAGAGGGCAGACAGTAACTTTATAAATTGATTTGTAGCATGGGAGGGGTGTCTGATGGGAGAAACAAGCTTTAGGCTGAGAAAGTTAAGTCCAGACGAAGAGGGGTGGGCTCAGAAAGCACCTTCGGGTGGAGCAGCCGGGCTTTTGTACACTGGCTCAGTCACTCCAACTGGTGTGAAGCCTTGGGCAGGTCCCCTAACTCTCCCAGCTTCAGTCTGCATTTCCCTAAAATTGATTGAGTAATAAATACTTCCCTAGAGGGCTGTGTGGGGGTGGGGGTGGGGGCCTGGCAGAGCACCTGGCTTAGTGAGCGCCCCCTCAGGATCTTAGGGAAGAAGGTGTGAGAAGGTAGAGTGTGGAACTGTAGTCTGCATAGCTTAGCGGTTGTTGGTGATTTGGGAATGGGCAGGCATGGCCAAAGCAGGTTGGAGATGGGAGGCTGTGTCTCCGATTGTCCTATCCTGTCATCTGGCCCAGGCCCCACCCTCCCCAAGTCCTACTGTCTCCACACAGTGAAGGAGCAGAACTGAAACACCTAGAGGCCCAGGTCCAGCGCTGTGAAGACATCCTACAGCAGCTTCAGGCAGTGGTACCCCAGATCGACATGGAGGGGGATCGAAACATCTGGATTGTGAAGCCAGGAGCCAAGTCCCGTGGCCGAGGTGGGGGAGCAAACTCTTCTCCGTTGTAAAATGGGGGTGGTGCTAGGTCCACCTGTCAGGTAAATGCAGGACGCTCCTACCACCCACATGGTGCTGCTTTGCCTCTCGCTCCCCGTTAGAGCGTTTCTGGGCCTCACTTCACTGAATTCACTGTGTGCACGAGGGCCCAGCAGCAGCCGGGCGTTTAAAGACTGCAGAAGGCCTCCCGAGAAATAGACAGAAAACTTGTGATGATGCCATTCTTTATTGAAAAAGACCTATACGTTAAAGTACAGGTTGGGTGAAGTGTCACAAAGCGAACACACTGTGTACCTCGGGTTCCAGTGCATCCAATCCCTCTGCTGGCCTCCATGGCCCCCAGGCATGCATGTGGCATACAGACATGTAAGACACATAATATAAAAACAAATAACTTAAAAAAAAACAGAAAAAAGAAAAATGCATTTGTGCCTAGGTGGAAACAAAAGCAGCATTCAAGGCCAACCCTGGCTACACGGTATGTATGAGGCCAGCCTGAACTGCCAGAGACCCTGTCATAAAATCAATAACAGGAAGAAAAGAGAGGGAGAACAAATTAGGCACAGTGGCGCAAGTCTTTAATCCCAGCACTCAGGAGGCAGAGGCAGACAAGTCTTTGTGAGTTCAAGGCCAGCCTGATGTACTGAGTGAGTTCCAGGCCAGTCAGTGCTACATGGTGAGATCCTGGAGAGAGAGAGAGAGAGAAAGAGAGGGGGAGGGGGAGAAGAAGGAGGGGGAGGAAGGAGGGAGGGGGGAAGGAGAGAGAAATGAGAAAAACAAAAAGAAGGAAAGAAAACACATATGTGAGACCCTGTAGCCAGAGTTTGTTGTAACAGAGTGAAGTGGCATTTGCTCAGCCTCACCAAAGTCCCACCACAGTCTCAGCTTCATCTCTCAGCCTTACCACACTCCATAGGAGCCTAGGAAAGCAAGGCGCAGTAGTTGTGCAACCAGGGAGCTCTGCACATGATCTGGGCACAGCAGCTGACTCCACCCTGGGCAGAGAGGGAGGTTTCAGTGTACCTTTCAGATTCCTAGTCTCTTAATTATTGGAGGAAATGATGTATGTTCATGGTCAGTGTGCACAAGAATGGTTAAAGGACAACTTACAAGGGGTCTGTTCTGGCTTTCCTGTGTAGGTTCTAAGAACTAAACGTGGTGATAAGTGCCTTTATCTACTGAGCCGTCTTGCCCTTACTTAATTTTTTCCTACTGTTTATTATGTTGTGTATATGTGCACTGTGTGTGTGCCTGCTTCCCAGGGAGGGCAGAAGAGGAAGTCAGGTCCCCGGGACTGGAGTTGTGCCATATGAATGCTGAGGTCCTCTGCAAGAACAGCAAATGCTCTTAATGTTAGGCCATCTCTCTAGCCTCCCACCCCTCAGTTACAATTGTGCCTGTACATAGCAAAACAAGGTTCATTAAACTACTAATTAGAAAAATATCTAAAGTCTTAGCTTTGCTAGAAGGAAAATGGTTCTGAGTGGAGGGCCGCCTGAAGGATTCAGCTGGACTCGTGGGGACCAGAGCTGATGATGGCATTGGTTCTCTGGCTCTTCTCCAAGCCTTGTGGTCCCTGACTACCTAGGTTCCCCCTCAGGTATTGTGTGCATGGACCACCTGGAAGAGATGCTGAAGCTGGTGGACTGCAACCCCATGCTGATGAAGGATGGCAAGTGGATCGTGCAGAAGTACATTGAGCGGCCCCTGCTCATCTTCGGCACCAAGTTTGACCTGAGACAGTGGTTCCTGGTGACTGACTGGAACCCACTCACTGTGTGGTTCTACCGAGACAGCTACATCCGCTTCTCCACACAGCCCTTCTCCCTGAAGAACCTGGACAAGTGAGCCCTCCCTCCACCTCCCCAGACTGCTTGGTCTAGTGAGGAGACAAACACAACCCTGGGCTCTGCAGGCAGGGAGGCGGGCTTTTCACCACTGCTCACCCTCAGCCCTGTGGGAGTTTGCCAAGAGGGTGGCCTTGGGATACAGAAATGAGCAAGACAAGAACTCATGCTAATCAAGGGCTTACAGCCCTACAATGAGCTTAAGTAATCATGGCTAGAAGGTGATAAGTGTTATGAAGAAAATCTAGATCTGGGTAATGGCAGACTGAGAAACTTAAAGGGGAAAGGCAACTTGTGCTTTGCTCTTGGGATGAGAGGAAACCTTGATGAGGCCTGGGTTCAAATTCTGTCTCTGCACCATCCAGGTTGTGTTCCTTTAGAGACATGAAGAGACTTAAGCCCCAGTTTCTGTAGGGGCCCAGTGGTCCCATCTGTAATCCCAGCACTTAGGAGGCTGAGTCTGAAGGATTTTGAGGACACCCTGGGCCATATAATGAAATCCCCTCTTAAGACAAAACAAGCCATGTGTGGTAGCTCCTAGCTGTAACCCTGAACTTGGGAGGCTAAGGCAGGAGCCAAAATCAAGCCAGGTACAGGAATGGATGCCTGTGACCCCAGTGCTTAGACGGTAGGGGCAGGACAGCCGGTTCACTGTTATCCTCAGCTACATAGCAAGTTTTAGTCTAGCCTGGGCAACATGAGACCATTTCAAAGAAAAAGTCCAGCCTTAGTTTCCACATCTGAAGACGGGCAGCAATACATTGCAGCTATCATCAGGCACTTCACATGCAATCAGTGCTTCTCTGTTGTGCCACAGCCATTTCTCAAACACAGTGAAGCGGCGTATTGCCATTTTAAAGAGAGCTGAGAGGGGCAAGCAGGTTAAATGATTTGCCTGAGATCTCACAGCTGGTCATTGGTGAAGCTGGGATTTGACCATCCAGCGTCATCGTCCTGTCTTATTCCTGGGTGAGCTGGGACTAGGCCCAAAGCAAGATGACTCGCCCTGGTCTTTGGTGAATAGGGATGGGGGTGCAGGGCGGGGACAGCTGCTGTGCTTCTGTCCTTCTGTCCTGTTGATCTTCCAGCAGAGGCTCATCTCAGTTGAGCTCCACCAGGTCGGCTGACCGCAGGGCTCTGCCTGCAGCCCTGAGGTTGGGCTCCAGGGCTGAGCCTGTGTCTCTGATCCACTCTAGCTCGGTGCACCTATGTAACAATTCCATCCAGAGACACCTGGAGGCCTCTTGTCACCGGCACCCGATGCTGCCCCCAGACAACATGTGGTCCAGCCAGAGGTTTCAGGCCCACCTGCAGGAGGTGGGCGCCCCAAATGCCTGGTCTAGTGTCATTGTACCCGGCATGAAGGCTGCTGTGATCCACGCCCTGCAGACCTCCCAAGACACTGTGCAGTGCCGGAAGGCCAGTTTTGAGCTCTATGGGGCCGACTTTGTGTTTGGGGAAGACTTCCGGCCCTGGTTGATTGAGATCAATGCCAGCCCCACCATGGCACCTTCCACAGCTGTCACTGCCCGCCTGTGTGCCGGTGTGCAAGCAGATACGCTGCGTGTGGTCATTGACCGGCGACTGGACCGTACCTGTGACACGGGAGCCTTTGAGCTCATCTATAAGCAGGTGAGATGTCCCAGCACGTCACACAGGCAACCCCACAGCAAAGCCCTGGCTGGGGTCTGCTGTGAAACACAGTTCAAGACCTGGGTTCCTGACCCGATGCCACACACGGTGTCTTAACACAGACACATCCCACTGGCCTGTCTTATCTGTGGAGGGTACTTTCCTCTGAGAGCCTAATTCCAAGCCTCTAGATAGTAGCCTCATTCTCTCATCTGTAAAGTAAGACTGTACCTGGTTCCTCCTTTCTGTGCTGTGAGAATGAGTGGTTTAATCTTCACGCAGAGGTTTGCTAGAGTGCCAAGCTGGAGGACACAGGACAGCTTTAGCTACTATCCTTGCCCAGTGAAGTTGATGGGAGCTCCATGAACCACAAGGCCTGCCTATCAAGAGTCAGTTAGTATTGTCTGCCATTGTTATGATTATTATTCATCTTCTTTCAAAAACAAATTTGATCTTGCTTATTTATAATTATAGAATTGTATGGTTTTTGTTTTTTGTGGGGGTTTTTTGTTTGGTTGGTTTTGGTTTTTTTGAGACAGGGTTTCTCTGGGTAGCTTTGGATCCTGTCCTGGAACTTGCTCTGTACACCAGGCTGGCCCTGAACTCACAGAGATCTGCCTGCCTCTGTCTCCCAAGTACTGGGACTAAAGGTGTGCCTGACATAGAATTGTTTTTTATTCTGCCAAAAACATTACCTTGTTTCATTGTTTTGTTTTGTTTTTTAAACAGGGTCTTGCTCTGTATAGCCTAAGCTGGCCTAGAACTTAGGCTGTTGCCCAGGCGAGCCTGAAACTCATGGCATTCCTCCTGCTTCAAGCCTTCTAAGTGCTTGGAAATACAATATCTAACCAATCCCCACTTTCCCCAGTGCTGTGGTCCCCCAGCAGTTTATGAGGATTCTGAATCCACCAATGGATGAAGTCATCCATGGGGCAAAGCCCTCATGGTCTAATTCTCTCTAGAAAGCCTAGGTTTTCTCAGTCCAGTCTAGTTGATAACTGAGATTAGCCACCACAGCTGGACATGGGCCTCCACCTTCCACCTCCCAGTATTTGGAAGGCTGAGACAGAGGATCACTTTTAGTTCAAGGGAAACTTGGGTTACACAGTGAGTTACAGGTTAGCCTGGGCTTCAGAGTAAGACCCTATTTAAAAACAACAACCATACAAACAAACCTTTAAAATAATGTTTTTAAAGGATTTCTGAATTCTGAGGAACAAACAAACCTTTAAAATAATGTTTTTAAGGGTTTCTGAATTCTGAGGACAATTTTTAAGGACTTTCAGCTAGGATTCACTGAGGTCTAGGTTTGCTGTAGGAAGGGAAAACCCTGACCACAAGGCCTGGGTAGCCTCTTGTTTCCTACAGTTCCTGGTCATCTTAGAATAATCTTTGTTAGTAATGTCATCACTAGGTGTCCGGGGTGGAATCCAGGCCTGCATGTTCAGCATGTGCAGTCCTACTGAGCTGCCCCTCCAGCCTAAAAAATGTAAAGGAGATACAGGCAGGTGTACACATACTCATGTAATCCCAGCACTGGGCTACATGGGCAGGATTGTCACAGGTTCACCGCCCGCCTGGTTTACAGAGCAAATGTCAGTTCAGCCAGGGATTTATAATGAAATCCTGTCACAAACAGTGTAGTCTTGGAAGACAGAAGAAATGGGGAAGAGGAAGTAATTTGCAGTTTAGAATAGAGAAAAATTTGTATGGACATGACAACACATGCCTGTAACCCCAACATTTAGAAGGCTGAGGTTGGAGGATCAGGAGTCCAAAGTTACCCTTGGCTGTATGTGAGCTTGAGGCCAACCTGGGCCTGCAGCTCTGCCCCACACTCTGAGTTTATCTGTTCGTCTCCTTGTGCTGTTCAGCTCGGTCTGTTCTCTGAAGGTCTGTCTCAGAACAAACAAAATTGAATAGGGCTGAGCACACACATTTTTCAAAAGTCCTTTGTCCCCCAGATATCTTTCATTGCTGATCCGGTTTTGAGTTTGAGGGCCAGTGTACAACCACAGTGGCTACAATGGTGGCTTTGACTCTCTGATCCCCTTTATCTCGGACAGCATCACTGCTTTCTTCCTGGCACTGTGACCCTTTGAAGGCCAGCCAGGCCAGCCTGCAGCACTGTCCCACATCGGCTGATCTGTTTGTCTCCTCGTGTTGTTCAGCTCCGTCTGTTTTCTGAATGCCCTGGAAACTATAAGATAGGTTAACAAGCTGATGGGGTTCAGGGTAGAGATTTTTGGCAAAAAACACTTAAGTGATACTAGGCACCTCATGTGACTGTCACAAGGCAAACCAGGAACCTCTAATTCCCCGATGCCAAATTTGACCTTGGACTAAGGTGGCTGCCACCAGAGCCACATCCTCCACTTTGCAGCTTTTTTTATTTTTCTTTATATTATTTATTGTGTTTGAGTTTGTGTATGTGTGTGGTCACGTGTGCCACAGCACACATGGAGAAGTCAAAGGATAACTTATGGGAGTTGGTTCTCGCCTCCCACCCCATGGGTCTTGGGGCTTGAACTCTGCAAATACCTTTACTCACTAAGCCGACTCAACACTGTCTCCTCCCCCCAAATTTATTACTTTGTGTATCTGTCCATTTTCCATTGGTAATAACAGAATACCATAGACACTGTAAGTTACAAAGAAAATAGTCTCAATCTATCCCATGTCTGGCTGCCCATGGCATGAAAACACTTGCATTCCAACACAGGCCAGAGGTCCCGTTAGTGTGCAGTGGGATTGAGTGCTTTTCTGCATGGTTAAGATTCTCTGCTTCTCTGGTTTCCTGATCCCTGGGCTCCTCCAGACCCCTTGATAATAGAGGGAGCCTCTTGACCAGACACCCCAGGAACTGATGCCATCCACCTCTGCCGTGTGTCAGTAGATGGTCACTGCCATCTCCCACTAGTGTCTGAGATGGCCTTGTTTTCTCTCCTGTCCACAGCCTGCTGTGGAGGTGCCCCAGTATGTGGGGATCCGGCTCCTGGTGGAGGGCTCTACCATCAAGAAGCCCATGGCAGCGGGTCATCGGCGGACAGGGGTCCGCTCATCACTCCCTCATCTGCTGGCCCAGCAAGGCTCTGGGGAAGGCAAGGACTCGGGGTCCCCTACCCACAGGTCAGCTTCTAGGAAAGATGCTGGGGCCAGGAGCCTGGGACACACTGAGAAGCCAGACTCTACGGCCACCACCTCAGTCCCCGGAAAGGGGAAGAAAGGCAAGGCAAAGAGTGCCACAGCCCTGGTCTGCCTCACCCTCCAGAACTGGGAGTCCCCCAACACCAGGGCGGGCCATGTTTTCAACAGGTCACTGTGTCTGAAACAGCCTGAGGCCTGGGGTAATACAGTGTTCCCCAAATACCCCAGTGCTCCCAAGACCATTTCTGCCCACTCTCCAAGCCCTTCCCAAGCATCTGGGCTTACCTTCCTGCCAAAAGGCCACCAGTGATAGCAAGTATGAGCACTGCTCACCAAATATCCTTAACTATACAACCATGAGTATTCCAAAGTAGTCACCCTGCCAGGCAGTTAAACCCCAGCTGGGTCCTTGAGTGTGTATCCCCAGAGCCCAGACTACTGCTGCTGCTCTAGCCAGCCTTTGCCCTCACCCTTCTCTGGGGAAAGGTGCTGCCACCGTGCCCTTCCCAATCCCTAACCAACCCCCTTAGCCCTCACAACACCCTAGTGAGGTAGGTGCTATTGTCCCCATTTTCCAGCCGAGGTAGCAGGAAGTTTAAGGACGTTGCCCGAGGTTGCACAGCTCAGAAGGGGCAGAGCTGGGATGCAGACCCAGGTCTGTTGGTCCCCCAACCCTGTGTTCTCCCACTGCCTCTGGAGGAGGAGCTGGGAGGGGCTCCATCTGCCCTCACCTCCTATCCCCCACCTCTGCATATACCCTGTGGAAAACTGGTCAGGCTGGGGCCTTACCCAGATCCTCACAGCTTCCCTTCTCCCACAGCCCCTGCCCACTTCCCTAGTCTCCATTCCAAGGCCTGGCTGCCTTCTTCCCGTGTGCTCCGACCCCAGGGCCGGGTCCTCAGACTACAGCATGGCCAACTGGTGGGCTCTAAGGCTCTGTCAGCCACAGGCAAGGCCTTGATGACTCTACCTACTGCCAAGGTTCTGATGACCTTCCCACCTCACCCTGATCTCAAGCTGGCACCCAGCATGCTGAAGCCAGGAAAGGTGGGCCTCGAGCTGTGCCTCACACCCTGGCGGGCAGTGCTGAGCAGTGGGATCGGGGCTGAAGGGCACAGACTGAGGGCAGCACCCAGACCATGCAGCGCCCCAGGGAAGGGCTTGTCTTCCCCAGAACCCTGTTCTAAGACAGAGGCCTGATCATATCTCTCTCCCTCCCCTCCTTACACCGAGGCTGCTATTTCCCTGCACCTTCGAGGCCCCCCCTTTGGAAGTGCCTCGTGGCCTCTGCCCTTTGAAGTTGGACCTCTTCCTAGCACCCACAGGAAAGTCAAGGCCAAAGGCAAGTTCAAGGCCAGACTCTGCGACAAAACCAGGGCTGAGGCATACCCCGAGAAGAGGCAGAGCCTCCCTAAACCCTTGACCCTTATTTTGACATCCCGGACACTGAGAACCATGGGGGCTAGGAGGCTAGAGAAACCCCTGCTCTGATCTCCACTGCCCCATCCTGGATTCAGCATCAAATTAAAAAAAAAGCAAGTAAAGTTATCTGGGCTTGGCTTTTGAATAATGTGAGGCAAGGCTCATAAAGAGCTGACCAGCAGGGCCTCCAGCACAGGCCACAGTCCCCACCCAGTGGTAGATATTAGCTTTCTCTGCAGGAAGACGAGTGAGTGGGGACAGAGCCTTCACTATACAGATGAGGACACTGAGTCTGAACAAGGAGACATAGCTTGCCTAAGACCATAGCAGCTGGAAGGTCAGCCATCAGGAGTGCCCTTTCCCAAAGCTAGGCTGGCAGGATAGCTTCTGATGGGCACAGAACATTATGACAAGCAATGAGCTTTCTCTAAACCTCAGCCCTTCTCCAGAGAGTATGTCTATTCCTTCCCTCAGTGAGGGCTTGGTCAAGACACCTAAAAATTGCAAGACCCAAGAAACAAGGGAAGTGTGGTATTTCCTACCTGTAGAGTTTTAGTTGCTGGTCCTCCAAAAGTGGTATCTATTTGTAGCCTGTGGACGTGTCCTGGGTGGGGCAGCATAAAGTGGAGAGTCGGGTGTTGAAATTCAATGACCCGTGTCCTCCAAAGTCAGAAGAGCTCATGCCTGCACAATGCTGTGTGCCTGTTCTCCCAGTACTCAGGAGGCAAAGGCAGGCGCATCTCTGGGTTCCAGTCAAAGCCCAGCCTCAAAAGCAAACAAACCTCCTCCTGGCCAGGAGTGCGGCAGATGCCACCTTCAGACCTGGTCACTGTTCACCTAAGCGGAGAGCACAGCCCCTGGTGAACATTTGCTTTCTCAGCAGATCTCAAAAGCAGACTTGTGAGGTAGGACTTTTATTATTTTAAATCCAGAGAGCGGCCACCTGTCCACGCCACACAGCAAGCAATCGGCCTAGCCGGGATTTATCTTAGGTTTGTAGGACTAAGGAGCCAAGGACCTTGACTGCTCAGCACCAAGTCCACTGTCCTTGAGCTGGGTCACAGCCTTCCTCTTTCCATGTTCCAATTGGGGGTCAAGCACTGTCTAGTGGTGGGAGAGCCGCAGGCACTGCAGAGTCCTTGAGAAGTAGGAGGGCAGCGGTGCCAGAAGTTCACTGGGGGGGTCCCTGGGTCTGGTGCCTGGGAGGAGGAGGCGGTGCAGGTGCAGGTGTAGGGGCATCTGGGCCACCTGGGAAGGACTCAGGCGGAGGCGTCTGAGGAGGGCTTCGTCCAGGACCTGTGGTGGGAAAGACAGCAGCCCATCTGAGTTCCAGCCACAGAGCCCCCAGCTCTGATGGACCTCCCTGGTCTGCAACTGCATTAATTCTCTCCACAGGCAGGCAGGGTTTTCTTTCCGCACAGAGCTAAATTACATTTCAGCTTCATTTGTGTTTAATGAAGCCATGTGATTAAGCCTCTGGCCAGTGGGATGTGAGTAGAAGTACACAGACCTGGCCCTCAAAGCCCCGATTCACAAAAACTTCCCTTCTGGCCAGAAAGCAATCGCCCTGGTCTCCAAGTGGCTACCTAGAACCAGGCCCACTCCTACTGTATGCCCATTTGCCGGACTTAACCCAAGAAGAAACGATGGACTTCAGGGCCTGTTAGAGGTCAGCTACCCCGCTCCTTGAGCTAATGGACAGAAGGAAGCCAAGGAAGTATGGCATTTGCATGAACCACATAGTACCACAGGGGTACAGGTGGCCCCAGAGGCCAAAACAGTCCTCCCAGTCCCCCAAATACAGAGCAGGCATGTGGGCCTGAAACCTACCTGTCTTTGGGGCTTGGTGGTCTCAGCTGGCCACAGAAAGCGCTGGCCCAGAACGGTGCCCACTCGAGAAGCATAGGTGTGGTCCCCAAGCACTGGGCAGAGCTGGAGAGCCATGTGCACCTGCAGCTGACTGGGGAATACTGAAAGATGATGGGGAGACAGTTGCTCTTCCTGACCATAAGTACTATTCCCATTCCCAGAGCCTGTGAATCTGTGGGGTGACCTCTGCCTTCATAGAGAGCATCGTGAGATCAGGACAATGACAGCTGGCAACCTACCCAGCCTGGGGATTCAACCCTATAGAACTGAAGCCCCTGCAAATAAGGATGTGTGCTGGGTGCTAGACTATGGATATGTACCTAAAGCTCTGCTTCCCTCTGAGCTCACTCTCACACCCTTGGAGTCCATCAGATGCTCTTTGGATGTTGCTAAACAACATCTTCCTCACAGGCTTCATCTCCCCTGCAGAGTACTGTTCAGACCTACCTGTCAGTGGCTGCAGCTGGACCAGAGCACAGCCACAGCCTGTGGCCATCACATGAAAATGGCTGAGGGTCCTCTTGACACCTTCTAGGATATCCTTTCGAGATGGGGATGTCACTGGGACTGCCTAGGGTACCAGTCAAGAATGACTTAGCACACACCTAGGAGCCCCATTGATCCACCCCTGCTGCCAGCTGACAGGACAGGGCCTCAGAACAGGCAGCAGCCACTTGCCTGTTAGGGGACAGAGGAACTAGCCACCCCATGTACACAGTACAGACTCCTCTGAAAGGCAAAACCTGAAAGGACTCCTCTTCTGACTCACAAGATCAATGCCGTCCATGTGTTCCAGCTTCAGAGCCACGTGGATAGTCCCCTCAGAAGGCTCAGGGATGCCATTAGTGATGGCACTGAGAAAGAGAAAGGAAGTCTCAGAGCAGCCAGCTGGGACCTTCCTTGGCCCTGACAGTCACCCCGCACCTCTCACCAGTAGGTGGCTGTGGGCCTCTGTGTTCTCCTTGAGTGAATGAAGAATTTCTGCAGGCGGCTTGCGGTCTGGGGGCAGCTGGAGAAGAGCACAAGTCCAGAGGCCTCCCTGGAAGAAGGGGACAAGTCACATAATGCCTCTTGGTCACAAAAATGAGGGTCAAATGGCTGCTCTTGCAGAGGACCAGCACTCAGCACCCACATGTGGTTCACAACTGTCCATAATTCCAGTTCCAGGAGATCTGATGCCCTCTTCTGGCCTCTTCTGGCTAAATACACATACATTAAATAAAAACAAATCTTTGGTCTTTTTAAAGGAGACTCTCAAGGTACTGGAGAGGTGAATGAGCGGTTAAGAGCACTGGTTGCTCTTCCAGAGGACCTGGGTTCAATTCCCAGCACCCACATGACAGCTCACAATTGTAACTCCAGTTCCAGCGGACATGAGATCCTCACACAGACATACATGCAGGTAAAACAATGCACATAAAAGTATGTAAGCTGGGTGGTGGTGGCACTCGTCTTTAATCCCAATGCTCAGGAGGCAGAGGCAGGTGGATCTGAGTTCAAGGCCAGACTGGTCTACAAGAGCTAGTTCCAGGACAGCTTCCAAAGCCACAAAGAAACCCTGTCTTGAAAAAAAAAAAACAAAAGGAGACCCCCCCCACCTCCCCAAAGGAACACCAGGACTACAGTCCAGACCCCCTGAGAAACAAATCTAAAACCTTTTCTCTGGCCCCCAGAGAACTCAGAGCCAAATGACCTACGAGTTACTATCACATGCCAGGCACCTGAATAGGACTCATACACAGTGAGTGTAAAATAAGTGCCTGCCACACTCCTCACCTTCCAGGTGCTCGTACAACCTGCAGCTCCCGGTGTCTGAGCCCCAGGGCCTGGCTCAGCTGTGGCAGCACTGAAAGCAAGGTCAGCTCCCCAGGTCTCCCTGAGAAGTAAGAGAAGGGGACAAGCTGACAGCACCATCCAACCAACTCCTCCCCACCAGCCTCTCCCTCCTTGCCCTACCCATACCTGTCACAGGCAGCCCCTGTGGCTTGTTCAGTGTCACCAGAGGCCCTGAAACATTCAGTAGATGTCAGCAAAAGCAGGACAGCCCATGTGCGAGCAGCCTCAGCGGTTATAAACTCCCAAGTGGACTCCAAACTGCTTCCTCCACCCCAGGGCCTTTGCACCTACTGCTCTGGGCTTTCATGCACCACGTTCGCTCCAACATATCTCCCTATAATGTGAGCCCCTCCTACAGCCCATGACTGTTTTGTTTGAGACGGGCTCAAACAGGCTGGCCTCAAACTCGTTATATAGCTGTCTGATCTTGAACGTCTGATCCTCCTTGCCTCTGTCTCCCAAGTTCTGGGATTACAGATGTGGTCACCACTCCCGGAAACAGCAGGGATTCATTATTTCTTACATCAGAATGCTGATCTCTCAAGGCAAGAGCCATATTTATCCCAGTACTGTGTAGCCTCCTTGTTGCTACATGAACTTAAGTTCAGAGAAGCTGTTAGTTCCTAAAGGCACACAGCATGCTGCTTACAGACCCGTTTGTTCTGACAGGAAAGTTCTGCTTCTGCGGGGCTCAGAATGCGGGGTGGTGGGAAGGTTTCCTATGCCTGTCTTCATGATGCTGAGGCTAGCAGTGGAAATGTAACTGCTGGCCGGGCTCCTGCAGCTACAGGGGTCTGACTCCAGGGGGTCAGAGGTTCGGGAGCCCCAGGCTCCCCTCACCTTTCTGATCCACCACAGCTGCCCTCAGCACGTCAGCCAGCTCCTCTGGGCCAAGGTTCTCTGTCCGCAGAAGCCCAGGGAAGGGCTGGTCCTCCACTGGGTCCTTGCTCTTGCTGCAACCTCGAGGTTGAGGCCGGCGCCTGAGGAAAATGACAGAAACCGGTACCTCCTCCGCCCTCCCTGCCCAGTGCAGCCTTTTCGTACAAAACCCTTAGACCTCCCGGCTCAGCTGACAGTTGAGGTCCATATGCCCACAAGACTACAGAAGGGGCAGGAGAAGCTCAGCGCGCCAACGATCTCGAGTCGGGTCACACAACACAGTTGGGATTAGAACCCATGTCCTGATCTGAATGCCTGACATGCGCCCCCCCCCCTTGTCCTAGTCTCCCTCCTACACGGAAGTGTTGTGTTATAATCACCGGGCCTCGGTGCCGAAGCCTGCAACTCTCGACCGTGCGCCAGCCCCCAGCCCGGGTCGCCAGGTGCCAGACACCCAACGCCAAACACGGAAGGCCCCCATCACCCGAGCAAGCACAGACGCATGCGTCCACCACGTGCATCCTCCGTGCGCAGATTGGTCAGGAGGACTGTCAATCAGAGCACCAAGTAGGCGGAGCTCCAAGGAAGGAAGATCCAAACTTTCCTTTGGCTGGGGAAGTAAAAGTACGGTTTCGGGCTCTGCTTTGGGAGAAATGGAGGCGCGAGGCGGGGTTATTTACTTGCGATAGATAAAGTCTCTTAGAATAGAAAGAGGCGAGCTTGCAGATTGTCGATTCAATTGTCGGGACCCTTAATCCGAAACCCATCCTTATAAAGCAGAGGGAGGTGAAGCCCCACAGCCTTCCGGCCAGGACACCCACTTGGAAACGGTCTGCAACACAAAACGTTCCAAGACTGTAGTTCAGATGGTAGAGAGATTTTCTAGAATGCACGAGTTCCTGGGTTCGATCCCCAGCACCACACGAAGACCAAGATCACAGATACAGAGGTACAGACTTGAGTTGGAGACCATCCTGGGATACGTAAGGCTCTTCCATTAAAAAAAAAAAAAAAAAAAAAAAAAATAGGCCGAGCGTGGTGGTGCTCACCTTCAGCAGAGGCCAGCCTGGTCGAGAGAGTTTCAGGACAGCCAGGACTACACAGAGAAACCCTGTCTCAAAAAAAAAAAAAAAAAAAAAAAAAAAAAGGTACGTTGTTAGTTAATTACAAAGATGGGAGGAGAGAGACCGCCGACCCAAATCATCATGGCCAAATTAATTTTAAGCTTTTTAATTCATGTACGTGGCTGCCTCCCCCTAAGGCCTGATTTGAGAGGTCAGCATTGGATGTGAGGAAGACAAGGTATTTGTTGTTGTTGTTTTGATTTTAAGAGACAGGGTTTCTCTGTGTAGCTTTGGAGCCTGCCCTGGAACTCACTCAGAAGACCAGGCTGGTCTCGAATTCACAGAGATCCTCCTGCCTCTGCCTCCCCAGTGCTGGGATTAAAGGCATGAGCCACTGGCCAAGATTTACTCATTTTATGTTTATGAGTGCTCTGTGTGCATGTATGCCTTTTTGCCAGAAGAGGGCATCAGATCTCACTATATATGCTTGTGTGCCAGCATGTGGTTGCTGAGAATTGAACTAAGGACATCTGGAATAGCAGCCAGTGCTCTTAACCGCTGTGCCATATCTACAACCTAAAAATCATTGATCTTTTTTTTCTTAAAACCAATTTTTTAAAAATATATCTGGGCATGGTGGCACACAGCATTAATCCTAGCGCTTGAGAGATAGAGGCAGGCAGATCTCTTATGAATTTAAGGCCATCCTGTTCTACCAATTCCAAGATATGCACAACACAGGAAGGACTGGTGACAAATTTGGCAAAAGAAAGAAAAAAGCAAGTGGTTCCACCTTGTCTGGCTTCACCTGGGTACTCCCGCAGCCTCCTGGGAGCTCTCCTGTGCATCTCAGAAGTGGCCTGAGCAAGGACTTGGGACAGGCCGGGCAAAGTGCACGACTATATTCCCAGCACTGCAGAGGTGGAGGCCGATGGGTCAGGAGTTCAGTCATCCTTGACTACATAAAGTCTGAGGCTAGCCTGAGCTATGTGAGATTGTCTTAAATACACATGAGTCAGTGAGATGGCTCAGCCAGAAAGGATGGCTAATACATACCTCCCAAAATTCAGAATGTGTGTTAGTGGTTTTTGATGGTTTTTATTTTTATTTACTTATTTATAGAAGGAGAGAGAGAACTAGCCAAAGGCTGGTTCCTGGCCCACTCAGCTAAGCCATTTCCCCACTTGGACCAGCGTCTGGCCCTCTGGAGGATATAGTTCCTTTACTCTTTGGAGGTCTCCCTCCCTGCCCCAAAGCAGGCTGCCCTCTCTTGCTCCCTTCCCACAGACAGCTACCTTTCATTCCAGTGGGCTCTGAGCTCCTGGAAGAACAGGAGGAGGCAAACTTTGCCTGGACTAAGGGCTCAGTGCCAGGTGGCAGCCACAGTCAGCCTCTGAACTTGTGAAACTCGACCCCAGGAGAAGAGGCCTGGGACAAACACCAGCTTACATCAGCCCCCTCTGGCTCCCTTACAGCTTTGCAGCAGGTGTGGACTGGCTGGCCCTTCAGCAATGGGAAACAGGCAAACCAGGCCTCCAGAAGGCTGAGCCCTGGAGCCAGCCTGCACTGAGCCAGCCTCCAGCCACATCCACAACTGTGTGAGGGCCCAGAATAGAAAGTGTACTTGACCTGTCCTTGGCTTCTCTTCTTCTCTCACACTTGGCTCCAGGCATGGGGCAGCCGCCAGCAGTGGCTTTCCAGACAAGCTTGAGTAACTTGGCCCTCTGTCTTAGCGTTTTCTAAATCCAAATAGGCTTTACAGGGAGGATTGTGAAATTATGTTAGCTTTGTATCTGAGAGCCAGACTGAAGCCTGGTTTCCTACAGGCCTAGTCTTTCCTGCTTAGGTCAGTTACCTGACACTAAATAATGAGGACTCCTTTCTCCAGCAGCTACCAAGATGGCTGAAGTGGAGCTTCCGCAAATTCACATACTGCAGTGTGGACCTGAACAGCTGTATGGCACCCCAGACGTAGCATCTGAACCGTGGCCTGTGGCAGCAGCAGTACTCATACTCAAACACCTGAGAAAGGCCAAGATGGAGGTGCCACCCATGGAGAAACCCGAGGTGGGGAAGACTCACCTGAGGGACACCATCTTCTTGCCTGAGATGGTGGCAAAGCCTTCAGCCAGGTGGAAATCAAACCAGAGCTGACCAACTACTACCCGGGCGAGCTCTTCATCACCTCCAAGCCTGTGAAGCATGGCCAGCCTGGTATTGGTGCCACCCACCCCTCCAGCTTCATCTCCCTCAAGTAGCTGTGGCCAATAAAGACTCGTGTTTAAAAAGAAAAATGGGGCTCACTCTGAGAAGACCTGACTCCTCCTCCTCAGAGCTCTCTGGTTTCTTTTTGCAATGCTGGGGTCACTCTGCCAGGCTAGAGACTCACCTTGCAGTTCTGAGAGTGGAAGTGCTGGGCATGAACAGGCAACTGTGTGTAAGCTGGCATAGGCATCAATAAATCATAGGCGGACCAGGACCTTTCAACCTGAAAAGTTAGTGTAAAATACAATAGTCGAGAATCAAAAGAATGGTCTGATCCACATTATAGGCAAATTTCATTCAGAAATGATGGCTATTTCATTCAGAAATATGGATATGTGGTCTGCTTAAATATCAAATATGGAAGGCCTCAAAAGTCAACAAGAGTTTTTTGTTTTTTGTTTTTTGACAGGGTTTCTCTGTGTACTTTGGAGCCTGTCCTGGGACTTGCTCCATAGACCAGGCTGGCCTCAAACTGACAGAGATCCTCCTGCCTCTGCCTCCCGAGTGCTGGGGCTAAAGGCATGTGCCACCAACACCCGGCCTCAACTGCAGATTTTTATTTTAACATTTATTTATTTATTGTGTCTCAAAATGTCAGACCTTATATGTTGGAAGGGAGAAGAGCTGGGGCTATAGCTCAGTGGACAGAGCATTTGCTTAGCATGCAGGCAGCCCTGGGTTTTGGGTTCAATCCTCAGAGTCACATAAGCTGGATGTGATGTTTCACGACTGTAATGCTAGCACTTAGAAAGTGGAAGCAAACAGGTCAGAAGTTCAAGGTTACCCTCCACTACATAACAAGTTTGGAGCCAGCCTGGGCTATATGAGATTCTGTATCTAGAAGAACAAACAGGGTGCCACTGATACAGCTCATTGCACAAAAGCAACTGATGTGCAAGCCTGGCAATCCGAGTTCAATCCTTAGAACCCAGAGTGAAACGAAAATTGTCCTCTTACCTCCACACCATAGTAATGGCAGACACACACACGCACACACACAAAGAACACAGGCAAAGATGAGGTATTGGCATAAATAATTTACTTCAGGCTCTAATACCATACATTAGTAGGGAATGAGAACAAGAGGAGGGATTGTGTGACTTCCACGGGGGACACAAATTCTATCTATTCGGCCCAGCAATGGCAAGTGAAGCCACGATTCTATCCAAGTCCAGCTTGGTGAACCGATACATTTGCTAGGTTACTCACAGGAGGGGCCTGGGTGACTCAGAATCATTTGTATTACCCCAAAGTCCCTCCGTTCCCCCGAAATCTGCATCACTGTCATCTTGGCTGTAGTTAACCTTCTACCTGTTATATACTCTAGCATCCCCCCATGTGTGCAGCTGGGGGGCAGGAGGGAGTAATGGCTGCGATTTCAGGTGAGAGGACCCCCCCCCTCCCCATGCTGGCCCTCCTTTTCTTCTAATACAAAGTGTTAACTATTTCCATACCATAACCATAGGCCTTACTGTCGCTGGCATTTTGTTAATTTTGTTGTCTTGATTCAGGTCAAAGTATTCTGGAGGCCACCATAACAATGTCTGTTGCATGATGGGCACATAACAATGTCTGTTGCATGATGAGCATGGTCAAGGCAGGAGGGGACATTAGAGAGGGAATGGCACATAGGGACAGCATGGCATGTGAAGACAAAGTGGCATACTTTGTGCCAAAGCCTGGCAGGGACAGTATTGATCCCCTAAAACTCACTGCAACAGGAAGGGAGGAACTGGGCCAGGCTAAGAAGTTCTCCCTTGACTGGCCCACCCCAGGGCTCCAGCCCTTCCTGCAATTTCCTTGGTGCTGTGCTGTGACAGAGGTGTAGGTAGGCAAGAAGCTCTGTAGCTGCCAGGCTTGTGGGTGCTTCTAGCACAGCGCAGGTCTCCAGTCACATCCTTGGCTGGGGACAGCTCCTGAGGACTTAGGTTTTCATTGCAGCATCTTCAGACAGGCAGGGAGGAAGGAGGAGGTCTTGGCTTTGGATGGCTGTTCTTCCTCCGTGGCATCCAGGAACTGCTGCATGTAATTGGAGGAGCCGAGCAGCATGTGACCTGTGGCCTGCATGCTGAAGAGGGCCCAGCGGAGCATCTCCCTGGGAGACGGCAAGGCACACAGGTTAGACGCTCTCCACGCTCTCCACCCTATCTCCCCAAATATCTTCTCCGTTTTTCTATGCTGGCCTGAAACAGCTGGCTTCAAGTTAGATTTCTTTCTTT